TGTGCCAGGAGGGGCACAGGGGAGGGGGAAGTGGAGTGTGAGTGCTCCACTGCAGGCGGTCCACGGTGCAGGGAATATCGAAAGGTAAAGGCAGCGGCGGAGTGGTTTTGCGAGAAAATGTTAAGTGCAGTACAAATGCGCTGCGGATGACAATACAATAAGGCCACGCGGGCGATCAATGCTGAAGCCCACAGCGCACACACTGTAGGGAGAGACAATGATGAGCATGCGCTCGCCCGCAACACACTCGCACAAAGAGGAGAAGTCACTCAGATTGATCTCAGCCTTTGTTTCTTCTACGTTCTTCAGCCTACAGTTTGACAGATGGCAACGGCACAAAAACACCTGTGTGTGTTTTTTTATTGATACAAAGTACTTTGAACTGTAGCATCACTCAGAACCATCGGGTGAAATCATTATTAGCTACTGTTTGTGACTTTTCTACTCTTTCATCTGTAAAGAATAAGATAAGTCCTTTCTTCGTCCCACAGTGGAGAAATCCACAGCAGAGTACAATACAGGGTATAAAGAAGTAAAGTACAGCACAGTACTACAGATATCAGCATGATGTTTCTTACATTTATACTGCTGAGTTTGCAGACGTAAGTTACTATAAAATATTGCAAAAAAATCAAATAACTGAAATAATAAATTAATAAACATTGCAGATATTTAAAAAATTATAATTATCGTACATATTATGGTTGTCACCGTAACACAAAAAGTTGTACACCATTGCACATCAAAGAGAAGATATTGCATGTATTCTGGTGGAAAACAAAACATTAAAATGATTTAGGTTGGAAGGTTGGAAAATGCTGTCACTCTAGTTATACTTGCATCTTTCCACAACACCACAACTTAGCAAAAGTTTTTCACTTCACTGATGTGAATTTAAAGAATTTCAATTACGAGATCAAGACCCAGACCAAACCCTCTCATCATCCACATCCACTGCAATCTTTTGAAAACTAATGTTTGTTGACCAAAAGGCAGATTTTTGGAGCAAACTATTTGTGTCACGTGAGGGCAACGACAGGAAGCAGGCAGGACCCAAGTGCAGTACTGGTGCAGGTGGTTTTATTAACAAAGTCCAAATTAACAAAACAGGAAGAACTACCAGGCATGGAATTCTCTTTGTAACACGGAACACGAGGAAACACAGAACACAAGGAAACACAGAACAGGAAACTCACAAACTGCTACCGACCACGAGCAGTCTGACAGAAAGAACTGAACAATGATCCAACTACAATGATCAAACACACACAATGATCCAACAAGGACAGAGTGAGGGAGAGGGGTATATATACACAGGGAGCACCAGGTGACACAAGTGAAGACAATTACCAACAGGTGAGTGTGGACAGACAGATTACCCCACAAAGCAGACAACAGGAAAAGGAAACAGACAGACATGACAAAAACTTTGCAAAAACAATATATCGTTTCCCTAACTAAATAATCCCCCCCCGGACATCCAAAAGCCTACCACCAACCCTCTGGGTTGGGTGGGAGGGATACCAAAACAGATAAATTGAAACAAGGCCTATTCAAAAACATCAACAAAAAAGAAACTAGGCCCAAGGGGAAAAACGGAAGAAGAAGAAGAAAAAAAATTCCAGGCCCAAGTACCCCTATACTTGGCCTGGCCCTTTTTTTTTTTGGTCTAGGGAACTTGTGTCTCTGGTAAGGAGTCCCTTCCCTAGACCAAGGCATACCGATAGTCACAAAGGCTCCCCCAGCCGGACCAAGAACTGCCGAGGGACCGTCAGTCACTGAAACAGAAACCTCCAAGGGTGCAACGTCCCCAGGCACCCTCGGAACCACTGGAGTTGTGACCACCGTCACCTCCGGAACCACCGGAGTTGTGGCCATCTTCGTCTCCCGAACCATCGGAGGTGTGGCCACCGTCGCCTCTGGCATCACTGGGGAGGTGAGAGCCTCAGGAACCTCTGGGGAAGTGAGCGCCAGAACCACTGGAGACCCCGAAACCACCAGAGGACTGGGTGCCGCTGGCACTCGGCCCACCAGAGGCACAGACCGAGCAGGAGCCATCAGGCGAGTGTCCGCAGCAAGGAACCAACAGAAGGGGGTCTGCTACGGACCCAGGAAGTACTGACCCTACCCTGACGTCCCAACATAGGGACTGGGAGGGTGGGAAAAGCAGGTCCCACTGATGGAGAGGCTGCTGCAGGGAACGCTAAACCGTGGTCAGGTTGCAGAGCTGAACTGTGCCTTAACTCTCTCCCATTCTCGCTGCGTGGCACCCAGCGTGGGCTGCTACAGGTGAACCGGGGATTGGGGACCCCTGATCTATATAGCCTTCTGTTTACGCCCTTTAAGGGGAACTGTATTGCTGATTTGGCCCCCAGTGAAAATGAGTTTGACACCCCTGCTTTAGTTCAATGCTATCTCTCCTCCCTCAGCTAATCATGCTGAGTGACAGGCTGACAGAGCCTGGGAGACTTCAGTTTAGGCTGAACCCAGTGTCCCGAGGCCTGCCTCCGCCTGTTTGTGTGTTCACTTCCCACACTAGGTCACAGCAAAAACAAATGGGCTATCAGGTCAATTCTGAACAAACAAGAACGTTCCCCTGTGAGCTTTCATCCTCCAACATCTTTGTCATTTGTGAGCTGTTGAGAAGTCAAGCAGGAGCTAGAGAACTGAACGGTCATTGATAAAAGGGTTCAGCTTGAATTTAAACAGAATATTTAAATTTAAAAAACAGCAATTATTCCCTGACTATGTTTTATGTTGCAAAACCAAATTAAGTTGGGACACCGTGAAAAAATGTACTTAATTTTTACTAATTTACTTCATTCAAAGAAAATCCAGTCATATCCACTTTCTTTATTTAAAGATAATCTGGCAATATTTTAAAATAATAGATCATTCAGACTATGATACAAAGGGAATAGAGTCTAAAAGAGATCTTATTTTGAAAATTGAATGATCCTTCAATGCTTGGCACTATGCTACCGGTCTGTAGTAACAGGTGGTACTGGCTGACCAGTCCTTGGAACATAGAAGGTTGGGGACCACTAGTATAATTGTCACTACTCCATAACAAAACGAATACATGTTTCTGCAAATTATTATTATTTATTTAAGCGTTCAATATTGTTTATTGCTGTGTAATAAAAAAAACTTACTAATTGCTTAGGTTAAGAAACTATGTAGAAAATGCTTTTTAAGCTCCCACAGGCCACATCTGGCCCCCAGGCCTGGAGTTTGACACATTTAAACTAAAGAAAATCTAGTTTGTACTCAGTGTTGGTAGATCTTAGTGTCATACCACAAAATGTCAAAGTACCAGAAGAGATAATGTATATATATATTAAAATGTATACTCAGTTTGTATACTCATAAACTGAGCTGAAATGAGCGGTCGTCTGACCAAAGTTCTAACATATTTTTAACTTCCTTCAGCATGAAAATAAGTGTTTAGCCTTCCTGCCTTGATAGAGTCTCGTGGAGCTTGAGTGACAGCGATCATCAACAGCATAATTTGTCATAAGGCTTAGTCATATTTCATAATAAGTGTGTGAGAGGGAGGAAAAGGAGGAGGAGGAAGAGGAGGAGAGACATACTGGAAAAACACAGCTGTTAGCTCAGGGCATCTTTGTATTTGGCCAAGTGCCAACTTCAGCATCATTCTGTTAGGGTTTTCCTTTCACACTCACGCACATCCATGTCCCCCACACATGCACACACAGACACACAGATGTAATACAAGACATGGAAGCTAATAGTAATTGGCATGGGGCTAACCACATATTGGCAGCTTCAAGTGCCATTTTACTGTGAGCCACTGGGAGGGTGAACTCTGTGGAGTACACACAAATACATCAACAGTGATGCAAACTAAAACCAGCCTGGACACAATTTGTGTCCCTGCTTCTATTTACAGCAGACAAGGACACAAACCCACAGCAGAGTGGGGTTAGCAATCGTATAAATGACAGAGCTGCAGATTTAGTACGATAAAATCAAGTGGCCTGAAGGATTTCCACACTTTCGTTGCTTTATTTCGTGCCGTCAATCACTCAAAGATTGAGGTATCAGAAGGTTGATCCTGAGGTTTTTCCTGCAG